AAGATTATTAATCCTAAAAAAATTATAAAAATGCATAAGTGAATAATAGGATAGATTATTAATCCTAAAAAATTATAAAAATGCATAAAGAATAATAGGATAGATTTAATCCTAAAAAACTTATAAAATAATAACTGAATAATAGGGGATAAATAAATTTTTTGGAATTATTATTTATTCATGGATTTTTGATACTTCCACTTGATTTACATATTCTCTCAGAATTTAAATGATATGTATATTAGTTCGCAGCAATAATTAATCCTTTATTTGTTTGCATTAAATTTCATTTAAATTTAATTAACTTTTAATTTTTTACGAACAGAAAATGTTTGTTAAATTCAAATTTCATTCCTTGCAGCAATGGCGCAAGAGAATTATTTAAATTTAATTATTTTGAAACCCTGCAGATATATATATATATTATTTCGTTTCACTTTTATGTGAATGTATATACATGTGCTCAGACTTTGGGATGTTTACGACTCTAAACTTTCATTCCAATTAACATGAGACAGTATTAATGCCCTAAACATTTTTTTAACAAAAAATTACTATAATAATTGCTTTTAAATCCAGTCCTCTCCTGCAGAAGTGCAGGAATTAATTAAAAAATTTCCATTTTCTTTACCTAATGTGTGTAATATAAAGAGAAAAATCTTATTTTTATAACTTCTTGTATAAAAAGAGATATGAATTAAAATGTTTTAAAATTAAAACTATATTTATGGATTATGTATAAAATATAAACTGCCCATAGTGCATTTTAAAAACAAACGAGATTTCTAATAAATTATCAGCTATGACCCTGAAGTCAGCGGTATACAAGCATAGCAAATTTTGCTTAAATATTGTGAACCTTTCCTTACAGTTGCTCTGTACTTTTAAAGTACCAAACTATTTTTTAATCCCTTTAACTTTTTTATTTTATGTTATTTATTTGTTTACTTTTCACTAACAGTACATTTTAGGTTTAATAATATATATATATTATTTATAATATTTAAGGCTTCTAGAAGAAAAACACATTTTTTTTTTTTTTTTTAATTTAGTTCAGCTTCTATGGAATTCGTGATGTTCATAATATGCATTATAACCTTAATTATCTAAAATTCCATATCAAATCCAAAACAAATAATACTCGCTTAAGCGGGAAAAATTCAGATGTTCAGCGTCGTAACTTGCGAACTGCTTGCGCCAAAATATTACAGTGACACCTAGCGGCGGAAAATGAAATAATTTACGCATACGCAACATGGGGAAACGCTTGTGTACGGATGCCGTAGGCGTGTCTTCAATTGACGCAACGCGTTCGTACGCAGTAGTGGAAACGAGCCTTAAGTATCATGAGCCGGAAACATTGCGTAAAAACAGCAATATGCCGGCAATATCGATAATGATGATGAGCGAAATGCACAGAAATTATTCTTCTAAATGTGACATTTGTTGCCATTGCTCGCTTTTAAATCGCAGAGTTCGTTAAAGTTTTAGGAACCACTCTGATATGCGCCCTCAAGTCGCCAAATTTCTCGCCAAACGCTGCCATATTACTATCTAAATTTTTTGTCTACATTTCAAACTTTAAGCCTAAAATGTCTCCATAAACGCGGTTTTCGCACATGCAAAACCCACATTTTGAACACACAATTTAAGCTAAAAATCTGAAACAAAAACAAAAAATTTAGATAGCAAAAACGTAAAGTTTCTAACCAAAAATATTTGACAAGAATCCATGCACACAGCGATATGTTTTAACTTAAAAAAACATCTACGAATGGCACAATCTAGGCAACGAACGAATCTACGAACTACTCACACCTCGCTTTAATAAATTAACATAACAATAAATTTCAAAGAATACCATGTACACAGCATCCTGTTTAAACTTAAAAAAACATCTTTGAATTGCATAATCTAGGCAACAAACGAATCTACGAACTACGCACACCTCGCTTTAATAAATTTCAAAGAATACCATGTACACAGCGTTCTATTTCAACTTTAAAAAACATCTACGAATTGCACAGTCAAGATGCTACGCACAAATCAACAAAATAAACTAATATAACTAAAATAAATTTCAAACAATTAAAAAAAAACAACAGAAATTCATACTAAAGAAACAATGAACATAACATTCTACAAAATAAGAACAAGAATAAAATAAAATGCACTTACCATGAATTAATACTTTTTGAAAAACAGAAATACCAACTTCATACCGCCACGTAATCACCGTATTTATATGACAGTCAGGCACAATATTCAGAAAATTCATACTATGGTTCACAAATAAATAAAATCACAAATCCCTACTTCTATCATGCACAGCTACTAAAAATAATCTCCCAGACCCTCTTTCCACACCTCCAAATACCTACTGCCCCTCAACAGGATGGCCACGATGATATTTCCTTTTGCCGAACTTCAACAAATTCCACCATTTTATCTTTCCCTCTACTGCTTGTCCAAGCGACAGAGACTGGGTTTGGCGCGCTGCCAAGAAAATGGAACAAGCCAGGGGGGGGGGGGAGAAGGAAGGTCTGGAGAGACGGAAAATTACACTTGCTTGGAATTTCCTTCAGTGATCTCAGAGTGTTCTTAGCTTCTCCCTTTTGCGCTTGTTTAAATTCAGTTCTTTCCATCTCAAGATCGTTGTATCAGTCACAATTAATTATTGTCTAATACTTTTGTGTTTTTTTGTTTGATATTTTTGCTCATGGATTCCAAAGCATCATCGAATTCAAAAGGCAAACCCTTTCGAAGTTCGACCAAAGGAATTTTGCACAATGTTGTTACATTTTGTGATAAGATGGCCATATTCGCAGTAGGATTACGTCATTCAAAATTGGTTGGTTCTGGATACCGTTGTTTTATCAAAATGCGAGAAACATATATACAGTTATGCAGATTCCTCATCAACATCGCAGTCGGACACCAGAGCTGTGCGGCAACTACAGATGAGTCACAATTTAAAGTCCAGTACAATTCTCGAAGGGCAATGATATGGTGAGAGCCAGGGACATGTATGTGGTGCCAAACATCGTCGAAAGAGACGATGTGATTCCATTACAGCCGCCCAATATCAGAACGAAATTCTGCAAAATTTGTAAAATAGGTACAAATAATGTAAAAATAATAAATAAATGCTTGTAAAATAGGTTCCACGCGCTATTTATGGACGATAACGTTGGAGTTATCTGGACAGCGATAAACCATTCCATATCTAACGTGGCCTGCTAGATCACTGGACCCGAATTCCATAGAGCATTGTGTGGGTAGACGAAGAGCAGGTATCAGGCACCCTCCACGATTTCCGACATGCATTATTACAAGAATGGTCGCTACTGCCACAACACATGGCAAGCTTACCTCGCAGTTGTTAAGCATGCATTTCAGCTAAAGGGTATTATTAGCGTGATGTTTAGATTGCATATTCTTCCGACCTATTTGGTCTTTCGCGATGTGATGGTGGTAATACATGTGTTTTTGTACCTCTTTGCTTTATTGTTATGTGGTGTAGTAATGCCACACCAACTTCTTGCATCAATTTCCCTCATATCCATTAAATAGTTCTTATTTTATTCAGTGTTTTGCCTTTGTTGCATATTTTTTTCAGCAGGCATGTACTTTAGTATTTTACTTGGTTTTGCTATAACGTGCTATCAAGTGCACATCATAATTAGAACAAGAGAATTTCCCTTTCGTGATATTAGCTTTAAATATTTACCAATCTAACTCATTTCTTAAAGTGAGAGGCAATCTTTTTCGGTATTACACTGGCCAGTATTTTGTGATCATTTAAGAAAGGATTAAAATTAAATTAATTGTGCTCTAAATTAATACGCAACCATTATTTTAATGGGAAAAGTAAGTGAACATAAATCATCTTATACAAAGAGATAGTAAGGACTGTAATTTTACATGCTTTTATTATCTGGAGTCATAGAGTGAAAGTACATCTTCACAAAGTCTTAATTTGAAATATTCCATTAATTTAAAAACTTCAGAGTCCAGTAAGGAGAATGGAATCCCTCCTAGAAAAATACAAGGTTGGAATGGCAACTCTAACTGCTTCTCTTTGCAGTCTTTTACTTACTACTATAGTCAGTAAAATAGAACATACATAACTTTGTCTTCCCTTTATTTCTTATTAAAAATTATTATTATGGGCTTTTATTAATAATTTACAGATTTAATTTACATAGATTAACACACCCTCAGACATTTTCACTGTTCTCAAGCCTTTTACTTGCAACAACTCTTTCAAGATTGACGATAAATTAACCAAAACTGTCATATATATGAGACTCTTGTTAAGATTAATGAAAAAATGCTCATCAGTAGTCAAAAATATGGTTAACAATGTACAATGTAGAAATAAAAAGGTATGGAAGGCAATAAGCAATAGAAATTATTAGTGCAAATATTCATATGCTTTTTAATCATACAAGTTCATTGTCCCTACAGTCAAAAATGGCATAGTCCCCGCCTCCTAATATTCAGAGTGAAAATTAAGGAGGAAAAAAAGGGGAATACATGAGTAAATTACCCTATACTTTTCAGCCTCTAAACTTAGACCTGGACACCAAGCTTCAAATCCGATTTCCAGTGTCTATCCAAATTTCTTTTAAATATACCAGGATTCCTTAATTTTCTTCCAGATTAAAGGGAAAAGACAGTATTTTTAAGTGTAAACTTTCTTTCCTTGATTTTGTGAATATTGCTATTTATTCATACATTAAAGCTTACATTACAAATTATTTCGATTAGATGCCAAGAAGACTGACTTGATCGCTAAGCTACTGTCTTGCATTCGCCCATTTCAAATATTCAGACACTGAAATCAGTTAAAACAATTAAGCATATAAAAATTCAACTTAGTGAGACAGTTATCGTTAAATTAACATTCAGTTCAACTTATCATAGTCTAAACAATCAGTTTCTATTATATACACACAAAACAATTAAAGCAAATTTACATAGCATACAAAACAATGTCAATTTTTTAAATAACACTTTTATTTAGTATTACAAATGCAATTATTAGGTGCCTTAGAAATGAGGCCAAAATATATTAAATGCTTCACATCTGAAGTATAAAAATTATGATTTTACATTCAAAAGATACATAAATAGAACTTGTAACAGGTACACTTACATCAAACACAAAACACATTACGGATAATATGAATGCAAAGACTGGAATTCAGAATTAGAACTCGTAATGAACAGAATGAATGAGAAATCTCCTTCAGAAACTAAATATGAATTGCTTTGAAATTTTCAAGCAGGTCGTCCGGAATATTCCCTTGCCACTTTTTATATTCTGCTTCTTTTAGCTTAACAAGCATTGTCAGTTTCTTCACACTTCTTGCCAGAAATGTTATTTTTTTTTCATGGGATTTTGCTTTGGAATGCACTAAACCTAGGAACTGCTTAAAAGGAGATGTCATTTTTGCTTTTGCAGCCTGAAATACCTCAAGAATTTTTATTTGCTTCTTTATGTCTATTGTCATCAATGCCATTTGGCACGCATGGTCTTTTATCTTGGAAGATAGCAATTTGAAGTACTGCTCACTAGCAGTTCTCATGTCCATAGCAAGGAGTCTCAGAAACAGTTTTTTCATACCTGCTGACTGAAGTGCTATTTTTTCTGCATGGATTTTTGCTTTGGAATACTGTAAGATTAAACATCGCTTATAAGGAGTTGGAATTTCTGTACCAGGTAGCTTTTCAAATCTCAGTACACGTGTCAGAAATGCTAAGGATTTTTCAGCGACTTTTGTCTCTGAATGCAGTAATTCTAAGCGCTGCTTGCAAGGAGTAGATATTTCTGTACCATATTGTTTCTCAATTTCTTGTATCCGTTTTATTATACTTCTTGAGAAATGTGCTATTTTTTCTTTCTTGGATTTTACTCTGGAAAGCATTAACCCTAAATAGTGCCGAGCAGACATTGTCACTTCTTTATGAGATCTTGCAGGAATATATTTAACATCAGAGCCTAATTTTTTAGCTGCAGGTTTAAACAGCAGATGATTATAAGCAACCGCATTTTTCTCTTTAAACCTTGCAGCTACATTTTTCCTTACCTGAAACGACATAATTCAAGACGTTTTTATAAGAAACATTTATACATAAAGTAGAACACAGCTTCAACAGCATTTTCCCTCACTTTATGCTAATAAATACATTTCACTCAAATAAATAATAGCAAGAACATAACTAATAAATACAAACAAGATGATAAAACTTTGAGATCTTATCGCTGTTTCTAAATTATTACATTTCTTAAAAAATTTATCAGTTTTGCAGTAACAAGACTAAAAATTAAAAGCATGTTTTCATAAAAGGTGATTACTTCTAAATATTATTTACAAATTTAAGACATTTACAAATTTAAGATTGAGAAGAACCAGCAATATCTAATTATGGAACAGCTGGGTCATACTGGCTTTTAATCTAATTCACTTTTACAGATTCAACTGCCCTAATGCGAACCTAACATTAACTGCAGCATTTTACTGCTATAGCCTGTTACTTTGAAATAAGAACTTCAGAGTTATTTTTTGCTGCTTGATTTGATTCATAATCATAGGAACAATAGCTGCATTTAAAAAGGCAAGTTAAATTTGTGTCCTAATTCATTTCCATTTAACATGTTCTGCTTCACAAAACACAGGCAAAGGCAGGCTGACTCGGAATATAGTCTCAAATTGCACAGAACAAAAATGTTGTGTACTGATGATGACACAAGTTATGATAAAAAATGGGGACTGACAATGGCCTTGATTATCTAGTTCAACCCGTGGGAAGGCGTGTGGAGTGTGTTATACCCCAACCCCTACAAAACTGTGGAATATTCCCAACTTGTGAAACCGAAATTTTGTGCCCTTTTCAGTAGCTGAGTTTCTAGTAATGCATGACCTTCAGACCCGCTTTACTTTTGCACCTGTGTTTCAGAAAAAGATTTATTGGTATTTGTTGGAACTGGGGTATGACACAACCCATGCGCCTGTCTACGTTAAGTGTTTTTCTGATGGAATATTTATTTCAGAAATTAAATTCTAGAGTATAACAATAAATATTTCTACTTGCAAGGGATTTTACAGTAGCTAAATTTATATTTTTACAGATTTTTTAGTGCATTATAGCAAAAAGAACGAGTTCCTATGAACTGGAGATGCAATGGCTGTGAGATTTATTAGAAATAGTTGAAAGTGATGAAGATTGCATTTCGGAAATTGAAGGTGATACCGACTGTGAAATATTTAGCAAACACAATAAAGATACAGAAGATGATGTTGAACTGGATGATGCTAAAGATGATGACGATTCCAATGATTTTGTTGGAAAAGATGGAAAAACAGTGCGGGAAAAAAAAGAAATTTAGACGAAATTTGGTAAGAGTTTGTTCACATAATATTATAACTCATCTTCTAGGAGCTGTAAGAGAAGCCAGAAATGTTACCGATCCCTTTAGTAATTGGAATATTCTTATTGATAATAGTATATTGCCAATGATTGTAGAATGTACAAATTTATATATTTCTGAGGTAGTTTTAAATTATAAACATGAAAGAGATGCGAAAGCTTCGGGCATGGTCGAGATAAAAGCAGTTACAGGACTTTTATATTTATGTGGCCTTCACAAGTCGTCGCATCTCAACATAAAGGATCTTTGGGCTACTGATGGTACAGGTATTGAAATTTTTCACACAACAATGCCCTATAAGTGATTTTTATTTCTTTTACATTGCATGCGTTTCGATAAATTGCTAGACAGGCCACAGAGAAAACACTTTGATAAATTTCCCGCAATTAGAGATTTCTTTGAAAAATTTATTTCAAATTGCAAAGATACCTATAATTTAGGTAAGTACGTCACTATTGACGAGAAACTCGAACCCTTTCGGAGCAGATGTGGGTTCCGGCAATACATGCCGAACAAACCAGCAAGATACGAAATCAAGATTTTTGCTTTGGTAGACTCAAGAACTTTTTATACTTCTAATATGGAAATATAATGCGGTACACAGCCAGATGGTCTTTTCAAGGTCAGTACCAGTCCATCTGACGTTGCGAAAAGATTAATTCAACCACTGTATAAATCTGGCAGAAATATTACTACAGATAACTGGTATACGAGTTACCCACTAGCTGCAGATCTTTTAAAAGAAAAGCTGACAATAGTAGTAACAATGTGGAAAAACAAAAATGAAATTCCTCCTATTTCTTTTGTTACTTCTAAGGGAAGGGAAATATTTTCTACACTTTTTGCTTTTGAAAAAGATAAAATATTAATTTCTTATGTTCCTAAAAAAGGAAAAAAACTGTTCTTATGCTTTCAACATTACATAACAGTGATGATGTATACGATGATACTACTGGAGAAAAGAAAAAGCCAGAAATTATATGTTTTTATAATGACTGAGGGAGTAGTGGATACATAGATAAAATGGCAGCAAGTTATTCAGTTGCCAGAATAACAAGATGGCCAATGGTAATTTTTTTTTTTTTTTTTTCTGCACTGAATGTTGCTGCAATAAATGCTCGAATCATATTGCTTTCAACTGCTAATCCACCAACCAGATATAGAAGCAGACGTCTGTTTTTGAAGGACTTGGCATTAGAACTAATTAAAAATTGTATTGAACAAAGAAAGATTAATATGTTAACGAGAAATTTACGTACTGCATGCAAAAGAAAAGCAGAAGTTTCTACGAATAATTCAAACGAATCGATGAAATTTGAAATAACTAAATATAAAAGATGTGATGAATGTCCTCGAGCTAAGGATAGAAAAATGCGAATACAATGTCATGTTTCTGTGCCAAGAACATATTAATGTATTTTGTTCAAAGTGTGAACAGGTGATACCCCACACACATGCTCAAGTAACTTTTCTAGATGTGCCTTCCACCGCATTAAAGTAATAAGCTATAGTGGGTTACTGAATTAATATGATCATTTGTGCTCAATATTTTAAATGAGTGTAATATATGAAAAATACATCTTACTAAATATAATACAGATATTCAAGCAATAATAACCTTTTCTTTATTAATGTTTTATTTGCATATTTTCCCCTAGCTTTTTAGCATCAGGTTCTGAAAATTAAAAATATATACAGCCAAAAGTCGTTAATCCGGACTCATCGGGACTTCGGCGATTCCGGATTATAGATCATCAGTTTAAATCTGGTAAGATGGCATGCAGAAATTATAAAATTAAAAATAGAGAAACCTTTAATGAAATAAAGAACAATTATGATCTAAAGGGTAATAAAAATTACAAAAAAAAAGCTTAATATTTATTTGTTTACTTTATTAAACATTTCTTTCAATGTAAGCTGTTTAAGTTGCTTCGTTTTTTATGTAATAATACATTCCCTTTAATTCTATAAACAGACATAATTTCTCGTTCAGTTACAAAGTTCCGCTGTTCAAGTCCTATAATTGCTGTGTTGAGAATACAGACTAATTTGTCAATCGAAATTTTTTCGTTTTCAATAACCTCTGTCACTTTCTTTGCTATCGGAAGCGAATTATAATGACGAGGAATTTGATTTAAATCATATCAAAGAAGTACATCGAGATGAAATACTACATTTAGTACGGAATTATAAGCGAAATAAAATAAAAACATCTGCACTGAAGATAAGGATAGTGCTGACAGATCAACTTCCAATTCATTGCACGCCACCGTGTTAAAGATAAACAAACGTTAAAGTTTAGATAAACAAAGGATATGCTTTTATCCATTTTTTGCAGCAATTCCACTTTTTGTTTAATAGACTTCGAAACATACTTTCGCTTTGTAGATCCTTTACATATTAGTAAAATATATCAGAAATTCTATTTGACATAACGAAAGTTCAAGCTAGTTTTATAAAAATTGCTCTAACAGTCTGCAAAAAATAATAAGCCGAATCCAATTCGAAGATTAAGGAACAATGCAATCTGCAACACTAACTGAATTAGATAATTTTAGCTTAGCTTATACCGTCCGTTATACATTAAACGCGCATTCGTAAACGTATTTTGCGCACGCACATATTCGCAGCCGTAAAGGTCTTACGCCTCAACGCGACGCGTGTGCAGAAAGTTTGTAGCTTTGAGGTCCGGATTATAGATCATTCCGAATTATGGGTGTCCGAATTAACGACTTTTGACTGTATATACAATTTTCCTAATTTCTCCAATCTTCAATGCATTCAGAGAACATATACGACAGCCTAAAAGAAAAATGATGGCTCGGTGGCATAGTGGCTAATGCACGCACAGCAGTACCACAGATCTACGGTTCCATCCCCGGGCTGGACAAGGTTGACTCAGCCTTTCATCCCTTGAGTGGGTAGATAAAATGAGTAACAAGTTCGCTTAGGAACTAAACACCGGAGGTCCTACAACAAGCTTACCATTTTTCTGAGACATATGCTCATGCACCCTGGGACCAACAGTCTAAAAAGCAGATATTGGGTCACTACCGCCAATGGCTCTCTAAGGGTTGTTTGTGCCACTGAGTTTAGTTTAGTTTAATAAAAGAAAAATTAACTCAGCTGCATATTCACCTTCTCTAATTATTCATGAAGGATTCGAGACCAAAGCAGGACAGGGACAACAATAAGACTCGGCAAAATTTAAATTACAAGGAAGCAGAAATGAAGATATCTAATTAGCTACTGTAATGTTAATATTACTATGCACTCTTATTGAAATACAGGTTTCATTTACAGAAATAATATTGTGACAGTTCCTATAGTTTATACATGATTACTTTTCATTTTTCTATGTTCTGATTGCAACTGTGTCCTTGAGAAATTAAAACATTTACATAATTTTCCCCTCTCGATTTTCAAACAATATAGTTAGTAAAAACAAGGGGAAGGGAAATTATGTGAGGAAATATAGTGTATCATTCTATATTCTAGTAATAACTCTATTAGTGTGGTTACATACAAATTAATTTGGTATTTTCCTAATAAATCCAGAGACAGTTCTTTATTGCCAGATATAATGAATATTACAAAATACAGAAGTGATTTATAATTTACTTACATACTTCCACTGTTAATATTTGATATAAATAA